CTCCTCCTTCTCCTCCTTCTCCTCCTCCTCCTCCTCCTCCTTCTCCTCCTCCTCCTCCTTCTTCTTCTCACTTAAACACCCTCGATGTCCCCAACATTTGCTAGACACAGACTGGTGGGGAAAGAAACAGATGAATAAACCAATATATGCTATAAAGTTATAAGGAAAGAGCACTTATCTTATAGATATTTCTTTACACCATACTTTTTCTCCCACAAACGATTTGAGTCAACCGAGAAGGTACAAGCAGTAAAATTGTGAATTTTAGCCACAGAAGGAAACCAAAACTAAAAGAGGAAAGAAGATGGTGTCTGTTTATTGAGCGCCCACTACGTCCCAGCTTCCTACGCCCGTTATCTTCCTCCATCTTTTCCGCAACCCTGTCAAGGGAAATGAACGGATGCTCATTGCAGATAAGTGACTTGCCCAAGTTCAAACCAGGCTGAGCGGCAGAGCTGAAAGCCACACGCGGAGTTGGGCCCCCACATCGGTAGGCTACCTTAGAACAGCTGTAAAGGGCTTCAGATTTGACTGTGAGTTTCCTCGCACCCTAAGGGAAAAGGGAAATTGAACATATTGCCCAACTGGTCACTAGACAGGAAAAAGCCAGACATTTCATTGGGGGGGAGCAACGCCCTTCCTAGCACGGAATTAATTTTTATTTTCTCCAGAGAGAATTGATGAAAGAGCTGGTGGGGTGGGATCTAGGCTCAGCTTCGACTCCAAGAGCAGCGAGCCTTCATTTTGGATGTGAGGGGGTTTACTGAGCACATGCTCATTGTCCCTGGAGAAGGCTCTGCCTCCCAGTGACCATGCTCCTGTGTGTGTGTGTGTGTGTGTGTGTGTGTGTGTGTGTGTGTGTCTCACTTTTCCTCCCTACTCCTCCCTTCGTCTCTTTGGCCTCTATCCCTCCCTTGCTCACACCCGAAACATAGAGAGAGCCTGCGACTTGAAACTCCGTTTTTTTAGGAAGTGCTACGTCAGGGGCCTACGCACAGACCTGGCGAGGACAGGACTTCCTCCCCACACGGGCGGGGCGGGGCGAGCGGGAAGGGGCCTGCTGCGGCCGAGGTGACACATCTCTGCCTGCCAGGCCAGCAGCAGCTGGGCCAGCCGTTCCCGGGAGCCCTGGCCACCGCTCCCCGGAGGCTTTGGAATGGACTTGTGCCACCCAGGTAAGCACCGGGGGACAGCCTCGCTGGGCCTCGGACTCCTCTTCTGTAGAATGGGGCCATAGCGCCTGTCTCAGGATCCTGGCAGGAAACGATGTGTAAACAGAGGTAACACAGGTGGGAATGCAGAAGCACGAATTCCGGGCTCAGGCTAGCTGCCAAGCTGGGCCCCAGGCGCCAGGAATGCAAGGAGCAAAGCGGGCGTGTCCCTGCCCCCAGGAACTTACATTCCAGAGGAGAGACAGACAGGAAGTGCACTCCTGTCAGGTAGCAACAAGCAGAATGAAGAACAGGCAAGTAGGAGCAGGAGGATGGAACAGGGTAGTGGAGAGGCCAAGGGCAGACCTGAAGGAGGACGGAACAGACCGTGCAAAGGCCCGGAGGTGGGGCTGAGAAAGGTGGCATGTTGGTCCCTACGAGCCTGTCTGCATGGTACGAAGTCCCCGAGGCCCCGGTTTGGCCTTTGGGGAGTGAGGGTGGCCTTTGGGGAGCAGGCACCGCCTGGAGCCCGTGGAGGGGCCAGGACCAGGCAGCAGAGGACCGTGGCTGAGACCATCCCCAGGAAGCAGAACCCTGTGTCCGAGGGAAAGAGGAAGGGAGGATGCGCACTGGGAATGGGAGGGAAACGGCGCTGCGTTTTTGGGGGACAGAGAAGAGGGGCCGAGTCCCTGCGCCCTGCGTCTCAGCGGCCAGCGCTGCCCGGACGTCCCGAAGGCCCGGGCTGCAGGAGCTGCCCGGTTCTCCAGGTCCAGAGGCGCCAAGCTGGTAGCAGCAGAATCCTTTCTGCAAGGAAATCCTAACATGGAGCAGTCTGAGCCCGCCCCCTGGGGCTCCTTGCCCCACAGTTAGGGAACCACAGGTCCATTTCAGCACCCCCAATTACAGATGGAGCAGAGGAGGCCTGAGGGGGACAGTCCTGTGGGTCACTCCCACCTCCTGACTCCCTGCCCAGTGGTCTCTCCCTACCCTGGCTTCTCCCGGGGGCTGAGGGGACAGGGGCTCACAGGCAGTCCGGGCTCAGGGAACACATCTTGGGCAAGAGGAGACCAGCGTGGAGCGGCGCCTGGCTCAGGGCCACCCGGCGGATGCGAGGGGCAGAGGAGACAGTAGTCCCCCGACATGCCTGGCTTTCCATCATCATCACTTTGTTCTTTGGGGTCCCCTACGGGGTCCTTAGGAACAGAGATGGTTGTCCCCAGGGTGCAAGTGAGGAAACAGGCTCACCAGAACAAACGGGCGGCCAGTAAATGGCAGAATAGGGCCAAGCTCTGAGAGGGGAGAGAGCCGGGTTACCTTGGGCTGATGTGGGGGTGGGGCAGGGAGGCCAGAAGGGGGCGTCGCCGCTCTGCCTTAGGCCGGCCCAGGAGAGAAATGGATTCAATGGGGTCAACAGGAGCAGTCTGTGGAGGATTTGAGGTCTTCATTGCTTGCTTCTATTCACTCATTCATTCTATAAATGGCCCGCCCTGCGCTGTGCAATGCTGGGGCAGCAGAAACCCTGCCATGGGTCCAGCCCAGGGGAGCTGCTGGTCTGGAATAAGGGGGAGAAGGGAACATATCTGTAGGGCAATGACCCAGGACAGATGTGCAAATGGGCTCAGACCTGGCGCATGGAAAGAAGCCGCTCTTTCCACATGAGCAGGGGAGATCTGGGAAGACTTCCTGGGGGAAGCAGAAGGAGAAAGGGACGATCATTCCTCTGTTGCCCAGACTGGGTCTTAATCACCCCATGGCTAGGTGACTACCCCTCTGAGCTCAGATTTGTCACCTAATGTGGGCACCTTCAAACTTGCCTGACCTAAACTAAAAGAGGATTTGGAGTCAGCCAGACCTGGCTCAGTTCCCAGCTCTGTACCAACCTGCCAGTGGCTATGATGGGCCTCAGTTTTCCCACCTGTACAATGGGCAGGACAGTGGTATAGGTCCCCCAGGGCTGCCTTTGCTCCTCTAGCCATGGGTGTGTGACGTCAGAAGCAGGTCAGGCCCTCTTCCCCAGGCCCTGCCAGGAAGGTGAGGGACCCAGGCAACAAACCCCAACATGACCAATGGCTGTACCGGGTTGGTGCAGGCAGGCCAGGTGCAGTTAAAAATAGAGTAGAGACAGCTCAGCTGTGGGTAGGAAGCCACACGCTGCTCGCTGCTCGATGCTCACACCCACAGGGCAGGCTGGGGCAGGAGCAGC